TACATTTGTGAATAGAAATAGATTTGCTTCTTTTTTTTTGCTTAAGATTTTATTTATTTATTTGACAGAATGAAAGAGAGGGAGAGCATGAGAGGAGAGAGGGTCAGGGGGAGAAGCAGACTCCCTGCTAAGCCAGGGATCCTGATGTTGGGACTCAATCCTGGAGCTCCAGAATCATGACCTGAGCTGAAGGTAGTCGCTTAACCAAATGAGCCACGCAGGCGCCCCAGCTTTGCTTCTTTTCCAGTTTGTTGGTTCTGACTGATCCCTCCTGTCAACTTGAATGAACTAATACTTCTAGTACAGTGTTATCTTGTTGCTGATCTTAGTGAAAATGCTTCTCAGATTTCCCTGTTAAGTGAGAAGGCATGTTTCAGAACTAAGTTGTACACATCTTTACATGTTAAGGAACTAACCATTGAATTTTTTTTTTTAGTGTTTTTATTAGTAATGAATGTTGAATTTGTCAAAGGCCTTTTTCAGCATCTATGGAGATGCTCAAATAATTTTTCAATCTTCCAATATTATATATTATATTCTAATATGACATATTTTATTCCAAAGTTATTCTATTCTAGTCTGTTCTATTCTATTCTATAGATCTTCAAATATGATATATTATATTAATGGACTTGCTAAAAATGAGCCAACCTTTCATTCCTAGAATACATTCCATTAAGTCGTTGTGTGTTATTTTCTAAATTTAATATTGGGTTCTCTCCAGTAATATTTTACTTAGGATTTTTGTATTATATTAATAAATAATACCAGTCTGTAATTTTCTTTTTGTTTGCACTAGTGTTACCTTTTTAGGTATCATATTAGTTTTCTATTGCTGCTGTAACAAATCACCCCACTGTCTTAAGCAACACAAATTTATTCTTTCATTTTTAGCAGTCAAAAGTCCAAAATGGGTGTAACTGGTCTAAAATCATGGGGTAAGCAGGTCTGTGTTCCTTCCCAGAGCTCTAGAAAAGGATCCCTTTCTTTGTCTTTTCCAGCTTCTGGAGGCTCCCTACATTCCTTGTCCAGCCCCCTCCCCCCCATCTCCAGAGTTCGTAGTGTAGGTCTTCAGATCTCAATCTGTATGTGTCTGTGTGGGCATGTGCAAGCACGTGTCTCAGACCCAGGCTTCCGGGCTCGCATCTTCTCACTCCCCTGCCTCTTTCCCTACTAAGGACCTTCATGGTTACATTGGCCCCATCTAAATCCTTCAAAATTATTATCTCCCCCATATCAACATAATTGAAATCACATCTGAAAAGTCCCTTGTGCCATGGAAAGTAATAGATCTACAGTCTCTAAGATCAGGATGTGGCTATCTTTCTTCCTACAACAACTAAAAATGTTATAGTTGCTTTATAAAAAGAGTTTGGAAACTTTCTTTGATTTTTCTATGCTTTAAAACAGTTTATCTAGTGTTCAGATTCTCTTCTCCTTGAAGGCTTGGTAAAATTCTCCTGTGAAACCATAGGGACCTGGTGCATCTTCGTAGTTTCTTAATAACCTTTCTTTTCCTTCTTTGGAAATTGCTTTATCTAAACTTTCAATTTCTATTGGGTCAATTTCAATAAACTACTTTTCTGGGCAATTATCTCTCTTATCTAGGTTTTCTAATTCATTTGTTTCGAGGTCTACAAAATGGCCTCTTGTGTTTTAAGTTCTGCATATCTCAATGATTATTTCTCCCTTGCCATTTTTTTTTTTTGTCATTCAACAAATTTATTAAATACCTACTAACTGGTTTACAATTCCATTTTTTTTTATTTTTTTATTAACATATAATGTATTATTAGCCCCAGGGGTACATGTCTGTGAATCACCAGGTTTACACACTTCACAGCACTCACCATAGCACATACCCTCCCCAATGTCCATAACCCCACCACCCTCTCCCTCCCCCCTCCCCCTGGCTACCCTCAGTTTGTTTTGTGAGATTAAGAGTCTCTTATGGTTTGTCTCCCTCCCAATCCCATCCTTTTTCATTTATTCTTTTCCTACCCCCAAACCGCCCAACGTTGCATCTCCCCTTCCTCATATCGGGGAGATCATATGATAGTTGTCTTTCTCCGATTGACTTATTTTGCTAAGCATAATACCCTCTAATCCCATCCACGTCGTCGCAAATTCCCTTGCCATTTCTTATTTCGTGTATGTGAACTTTCTCCTTTTTTTCTCAAATAGCTGAACTAGTGATTGTCAGTTTTGATACTTTTGTAAAGAACCAGGATTTTGATTTACTAGTTAGGTATGTCATTCTTCTGTTCTCTACCTCATTAATTTTTGCTTTCACCTTTCTCATTTCCTTCCTGGTGCTTTCTTTTGATTTACATTGTTCTTTCTGCAGAAAGAAAGAAAGAACATCTTCTTTCTTTTTGAGTTTGGTGTTTAATTCATTTATTTTTCATGATAAAAGTGTTTAAGGCTAAGAATGCTTAAAACGATGCATAAATATAATGCCTTATGCATCATAGGTTCTAATAAACAGCGTTTTCATTATCATTTTTTAAAATTCTGCACTTTTAGGTTTCTATTTTCCTTTTCACCCAGATGACCTCAGCTTCCAGGTCAAAGGGCTTTCTTGTTGTTTTAATGTTATTAATTTCTAGTTTTATTGTATTGTGTCAGAGTGTTTGTGATATTTCGGTTTTATGCAACTTACTGATTCTTTTTTTGTGACCGAACACATAATCAAGTAATGTGACTTTCTATGTGTGTTTGAGAAGGTGTGTCTTCTACCCTTGGAATATACTATTGGACACATTTAAATGAGAACTACCTGACTGATTATATATACTCAGGTCTTCTAGATTCATACTTACTTTTAGTCCACTTGACATGTCTTAGATTGAGTATCACTTATTATTATGTTTCCACATATTTCACTTTGCATCTTTTACAGGTAGTTTCTTCTTTATAAAGATGGTTGTCTTCCCCTCCCACTTTGGAACTTTGTAGGATTTGCATTTTTGTCCTATTGGTTGCCTTTGAACTTAAACGTTTTTAATGTCCCTAGTCCCTGTTTCTTATTTAACCTTTTGTTATCTCATTGGTCAGTTTTCAATGGAGTTCTTTGACTCCCAACTATTATTTCAACTCAATGAGCTTCTCTTTCAACTTCTCTATCTTTCCTCCCATTTCTAGTTACATTATTTTTACTTTGTCATATAAAATGTATACATTATCTCTCGACCCTTCTCCTATCTTTATCAGACTCCTAAATCTGATAAGTACATTAAACGCTCACTATCAATCCTTTTGCTCCAGTGATTTCTTGGTTGGATAAAAACTGTTCAAGAAGAGCTGATGTGGACAGTGTTCTCTGCATTCTTACATTTTAATTTTTAGGCCCGTTTTTCTGTAGCCTTGATACTTGAAGAAGGGCTTGGATGGTTGTAAGATCCTTGGTTTGTACTTTAATTTCTGATTTAAGATGGTTTTCATATCCTGGGGTGCTTGTTGACTGAAAATATTTAATTTACTTGGCAGTGTTGTATTGTGATTTTCTTCACTTTATGGTTTATTTTGTAAGGGGATTTGGCATTTTCATAAGATGATAGATTTTGTTGTCCTTATTTTCTATTTTCTTTTATAACAATTTTGTATAGATTTAAGCTGTTTTTCTTAATTTCATAGATTTCAAGTATTTATAAGATTTCTACTTTAAGAGGATTCTTTCTAGTGGGTGTATCCAAGATACGTTCTTTCTACTATTTTGTTTTATTATTATTTGGGGATGATGATAGGGGAGGTGGTGTGTTTCCAATTTCTTCTTTCTCTTTTTTCCTCACAGGATCTGACATTTCCCCTCTTTTGCTGTCCTTTTCCCTTATCACCCAGTTTCCAAAGGATGTTGCTTCTTGCTTTGTGTCCTTTCCTCCCTGCCTTTCCGACTGCCACCTCGATTCACACCCACTTCTGAGTCTCTTCCTCGTTGTCGCCACTGCGGTTTACCAGGATTCTGACAGTCTTTTCTACATCAGGTCGACATTCTTTCCGGCGATGGCTTCAACTCAGTTCTTGGCTGCGACCTCATTTCCTGCTTCTCTCATCTGTCCTGTTTTCCCAAGGCTCGTGCCCAAAGTGTGACAGACAGCTCTGTCAAGATTCCATTTTAACTTTCTTTTTTTTTTAACTTACAGGTCATTTGAAGATTATGTAATTTTCTATCTTCTTGTTTACCAAGAGTGTGGGTTTTGTGTACTTTTACATATTCTTCCTGTTGGTCCGTATTGCTTGTGGGTAGTTGATCACATTAATCTAGGCTGCCTCTTTCTAAACGGTACTTAGACATAACAAAAGAAAAGATGCTATTTTCCACAGGACTGGAGCCACCTTGGTGATGTAGAAAGATCTGAGAGAGAGAAAGCTGGTGTGTTCTTTGTACACTGTGGAAAACATTCAAAGATTGACTTATCTAGAGCATAGAACTTTTAGGGCAAACACAAAATCAGAGAGGCAGATTCAAGCATCGGACTTGAAGAGTTCAGTTGCAGTCACGTTTGTTTTTATACTCAGTCCTAGGGAGCATAAAAATGTCTGACTAAGCATCTCCTGTTCATTAAAACCCTTTCAGATTCATCATTCACCCAGTGACCCGGTAGGTAGTAAAGTTTCCATCACACAACTATTCCCGCATCTGACAGATGAGGGGTCGAAACTCAGAGAGCCTCACTCACATGACGTCCTGGTCACAAAGTTGACTTGAGGAGAGCCAGGAGTAAAACAGCAGCCCCCTGACTGATGATGCCATGCATTTCCAGCACCAGCTTCGCCTCATCACAGAACTTTGCCTTTGTTTGAACCTCTTTACAATTTTGTGTTACTGTTCAGTCGCTTCTGTAACCTAACTCCACTCCCTGACAACAAATGACTAGGGGAAAATAGTCTTTAGTGTTGTATTTCAAATTGATTTGCCCTGTTAAAAACAATGTAAGTTGCTTGTCCGATGAGTAGGAAATACTTTCTCCACTAATCTACCTCCATCTCTCTTTTCACAGAGGACAGTTATGGGATGGATGGGAAGGTTAATCTGCCCAGCCCCGCAGCCGATGTCAACTGGCAAGGTCTGGAGGATTTATACAGTGTGAACGAAAGTGTTTATGAGTACAGACAAAACTATACACTTAGTCTGGTTGACTGGACTAATTACTTGAAGGATGTAGATAGAGTATTTGCACTGCTGAACGGCCACCATGAGCAAAATACAACAAATAAGACTAGGACTGCTCAAAGCGATGCGTTCCCGGCTGGATCTGCTGAACTCTCTGTGCCCGGGGAGGGGGCCTCCGCGGAGTCCGACGAAGACCCGAGTCCTAGCGTTGGGGAAGCGCCTCATTGGACCCTGCCCGCTGACCTTCCAACTCTGCGCTGGAACCAACCAACATTCAGTCCAGACACGAAACTTGAATGGAATAACGACATTCCAGAAGCGAGTCATTTGAATTCTGAACACTGGAGAAATCATAAAACTGAAACGTGGACGGAGTACGAAGAGGGAAATCATCCTGAAACCGACTTCAGTGGCAATGGCCTCCCGGAGCTGGTCCTCCCGCCCGGCCCCCGGCTGCTGCCCGGGAGCTGGCCGCCGCGCGAACTGCCCCGGGCTGGCGGTCCAGGCGAAGACGTTTTTGAAGGTCAGCAGCATCTTTCGGGGCCCGCTGATGTGGATGCCGTTCATCAGACGAGCGATGCGTCTGCCGGGCAGCGGCCCGCTAACCCCCGTGGCGAGAAGCGGATGTTGAACAAGGCGAAGAATGGCAAGACGGGGAGCTTACAGAGTCTAGAAGGCAGTGCCTCCTTTCCACTCTCCTCCAATTAGCGGACATTGTGACCTTACCCTAAACACAGTATTTTTGTAACTTTTTATTAGGAAACTAACAACGATGATCAGGACAGCCAACATTGTACGCTACCCCAGGCACACAGGTGCAGAAGTCAGCGCCCGCGCGAGCAGGAGGCCCGCGGGGACTCGGTGTTGTGATTCACCAGGTGTCAAGAATAGAAAGAAAGGTTGACTTGTGTGTGTGCGTTTGTTTGGGGAGGACTCAAACAGTGGTGTCTTTTGAAAGTGATAGGGATATGTCTGTACAAATATTATCCAATCAAGATGGCTAGAATTGTACCTTTCTGAGTTTCTAAAACTCGACACCCTCCATGAATTTGTCAGCACACTCTCCACTGTGTGCATAATGTGGTTTTGATTCCGTTTTTAACCACTGGACCTTTTCAGTGCCATCACGTTCAATGATTTTGCACTTTGAGATCAGAATGCCATGTCGGTTTGGTTAGTCATTTTTTTTTTCCCCTTCCCATAGGCATTTTCATAGTCTCACTGCTTGCTTTCAGTGTGACCACTGGGAAGCAGACCCCAGGAATGACACCCAGTACAGATGACATATTGTTCAGTGTACGCTTTTGCCAGAAAACATTGCATGCGTTTTCCTCGACTTGCTAAAATTGATTAGCAGAAAGGCATGGCTAACGATGTTGGCAGTAAAAATAAATAAATCAACAAAACCAAGATTGCCTGCTCTCTCTGTGCCTAGCCTCAAAGTGTTCATCATACGCTTCAGATTGCTGAATTTTTATTATTTTATTAACAGGATAAAAGGACAGATGACTTTTTTTTTTTTTTTTTTCCTTTCTATCTTTGTTTTCTTGACCTGGCAAGTCAGGTCAAGTGTTGAGAAAATATGCTTAGTCTTGAATTTATATAAGAAATCTTTTTCAATAAAACAAACTCATGAATGTTTCATCTTTTAAACACACCATATGTGTTATATGATTATATTTAAGGACTTCACCAAGTTCTGATTTTTTTAAAGGCATAATTCAAGACTGCTTTTGAAATTCTGTATTCTTGAAAATATTCTTGTTATGTATTAGATTTTTAAATACCAGCAAAAGGATTACCTCATTGAGAGTTACCAGTACCCTAGCCAACTTCCCAAGGTTTTTTTTTTAGCTTAACAGTGATTTTCTTTCTATTTTTAGATCATTCAAATGCATAGGTAAATTATGTTTCTTTAAGTGTTTAAGGTAAACTCTTTTAAAGAAAATTTAATATGTTATAGTTGAACCTTTGACAACTTTAAGTCTTTATCATAGACTTTGTACATATGTTAAAATTAACTAGCTCTTTATCAGATGTGTGTGTCACCAGCTGAATGACAGAAGAAACATATTTATGGTCATGAATGATGAACTTTGTAAAAAGGTTTCAAGTTATTAGGAAGCATACTGTGTTTTTTAATCTTGTGTAATATTCTGTGATACTTTTATAGAACAACTCTGGCTTCGGGAAAGTCTAGAAGCAATATTTCTTGAAATAAAAGGTGTTTAAACTTTACCTGTTTCAGAGAAATGAGCTTATTACCAAGTTTTTGTGTGACACCCATTCTTTGTAGGTAAAATTGAGTCCTGATCTCAATGGACATGGTCGAATATTGGCCACATTTGTAAAACTGCCCCAAAGTCCGTGTGTTCTAGAACATGCTCAGATTAACGATTTCAGTGCGGATTTGCCTCCTCACTTTGGGGAGGCTATGGTAGAGGCAGCACAAACTGGCTCCCCATGATGCCCCCCTTGGTTACATAGACCCGGCGTTTGGTTGAATGGTCTCCGGTCACCATGTTGACATCTTTAATGATCTTTGAACAAGGAATCCCACTTTTCCTCATTTTACCAGACCAACAAACTATATACCTGGCTCTGGGCAACACAGATAGAGTTTCCCAAAAGCAAGAGGACAGATCCACTGAAGGAAGGTTCAGTTCACTAGGGACAGGACCATAGACTTTGATCAAGACCCATCCACCCTCCAATACTTCAGGTTTTTCTCAACTGACAAATGCCATATACTTCTTTCTGCTCCAGATTTCCTGAGGAGCTGCTTTTTCTGCAGGTCCAGGGGCTGACAATCTGTGAAATGGCCAGAGACCAGAAGGTTAATAGGAAAGGGAGAAGAAACTAAAGCAAAGGACTTCTTTGAGATCTGTCAACCCAGTCCTGAGATAACTGAGGAAACCATCTGTATTAGTTTGTGAGGGCTGCCATGACAAAATAGCATAGGGGGGCTTAAACAACAGACATCTATTTGCTCACTGTTCTGGAGGCTGAAAGTCTAAGACCAAAAGGATTTGGTTTCTCCTGAGGCCTCTCTTCTTGGCTTTCAGATGGCCATCTTCTCTGTGTGTCCTCACATGCCTTTTCTCTGTGCGTGTGCAGCCCCGGCCTCTGTTCTTACAAAGGAAGAACACAAAAAATGCCAGCCATATCAGATGGCGGCCCACCCATATGACCTCATTTAACTGTAATTACCTCTTTAAAGGCCCTCTCTTCAAATACAGTCACGCTGGGGGCATAGGGATTCAACACCTGAATTTTGAGGGGCATAATTCAGCCCATAACACCACAGATTCATCAAGAGAAGAGTTTGAGATAATAGTGTTGACCAAAAGCACGTCATTTTGCCTCCCTCCTTGATCCTTTCCCACCAAAAGTGACTAAGCCAAATGCTGCTATCCCAGAGAAAATTCCATTTTAGTTCAATTCAGTAACTATTTATGCAGTACCTACTATGTGCAAGGGCATGAAAGAGACATTCAGATTTTGAAGAGTGCTTCGAAATTCACTAGCTGACTGACCTTGTTTGACCTCTGAGGAGCTGATGCCCAGAGGGTTAAGCTGATTCCCCAACAGCCCATTTCCTACAGATTTAAGAGGAAGAGGTTTACAGAGGCAGGGCCCGCCCCTCTCCACTTTCTCCATTTACACACACACACACACACACACACCCCAGATCAGGGAAGGGAGAAGCCATAGTGAAACTCCATGTAGGAAAGAGTAGTGGAAAGAACAATGGACATGAATTCTAAATTTTACTACCTATGAGCTGGGGAAAGTCGCATAACCTCTCCTTGACTGTAAAATAAGATATGAAATAAGGATGGCAATTACATCACCTCTGGGCTTTCTTTTCCTAGAACATGCCCAGGGAAGACATTGCTCATGCATGAGGACACCTCCGCATGAAGCCAGAGCACTTGTACCCTTAGAATCCTTCCCAACACAGCTGGCTACACCATCGGTAATGAAGTGTGAGACACAAACCTACTGACCATATCCAAAGTAGGTAATATCTGAGGCTCCTCCCAGCCTTCTTTAGAAAAATAAAATAACCCTCTCTATGGGGTTTTTGGTTAAGAGAGAAGGAATGAAGCTGTAACACTCCTACCCCATGCCAAATGTCCCTAAACACGTTGCCCTTCTGAAAAGAGATTTTTAAATGCCTGTTGTTCAGAACTTGCTTTAGAGCTACCCTGATCTCAGATATAAGAAGGTGTTCAAAGTCCCCCAATTCATCTAGTTCTGCTTGATATTTTCAAATTTTATTTGCTTGATATTTCAAAATCTAGTTGGAAAATATTTTCAAACTTTTCAAAATTTATTTTAGCAGAAAACAAAGACCTTAGAGCAAATAATACCTCCATGTGGTCCACCACCCTGGTGCATTTAAGCCCTCATGGTCTCTCCTTGAAGCTGCTGGGAAAGCTGTTATGGCACCCTAAGGCCCTTCCCCTCCAACTCCACCCCACCCTGCACATGCTGTCTCTCACCACCTGCCTCAGATCTCAGCCTCCTGCTCAGAAATGTTCGGCGATTTTTGACACGCACACTTCTCCCACTGGAAGTTCTAGCCTTCCATCCACCCATCCACTCCCCCTCCACATGGCCTGTCAGGACCAGCTTCCCCCAAATTAGCTCCACCTTCCCAGTTCTGAATTCCCCACTTCAACTGGTAAAAATCTTATCCACTTTTCAATTCCCATATTTTGTTTTCCCTTTTATCCTAGCAAACTTTATCTTCTCTTTCCACGTACATTTTCCTCAACTCCCCCACCCCTTGGACACACAGTATCTCGACCATTTTTTGCTTTACTTTTCCCCAAGTAAGAGAATACGGGTATTGTACCAACTCTGAGGCCGATGGAGTGAAAATGACCAGCCACATTCATGACCTTGCCATTTGCCCCTAAGAAACCTGCCTGAGGCAACTGTTGTTCATACTGGTCTAATTGACTCACCTTCCTCCAAGTTGTGTCGTTGATGCTGAGGACTTCACCAGCACAGTACCTAGGTCCTCAGAGCGAGCCCACTATGGTGTAAAATAAGCAGAGAAAATAACTTTCAAAAAGCAGATACTTCCTGTTGAGACTAGGGAGTCCCTGCTCCCCGATGTCAGGGAAAGCACTGCAGAGTATTGTTAGACAAAGGGAGCTACAAATGTTGAGGTCTTTTGTGCTGAGTGTTGCCTCACTTTTCTGATAGCAAATGCATTTAAGTGGTGGACAAAGGTATCCACCCTCTATTCTGAATTTCTAGCCCCTACACCAGTGTGCCTCCCAGGACCCAGGAATTCCGAATCTGTGTCTTCTACCCCGGGTCCTCTTCCTCATTATCCAAACTCCAGCCCCAATGGCACAGGTGACCCAGAGCCAGAGTGGAACCAATCCAATTACTAATGGGTTTCAGCAAAAGAGGACGGGTCATTGCCACCCTAAAATGAACGTGGTCACAAAAACCCCCATACAACTCAAGCCCAAGAACTGGAAGGGATGAGAGGTTAGTAAAGCATGTAATTTCCATAATAACCATTAGGTGTCACTCTAGTGCAACTCATGACAGGCTTCCTTCCAGCCAGGATCCGCCCCTGGCAAAGCTGCCATTTCATCGATTTCTGAAGTAGCAGCAGTACATTTAGACAAGAACGCAGCTAGAACAACTTGATCCATGGCAAGCTTGCTCTTTCTTTGGTACCTAGGATCTTGGCCATTTACCTAGGATCTCAGCCATTCCAGAAGACCAAAGAAGGGTTTTAGCTTTCTACTGATGTATATTGGTATTATGAGTAGGAACTGCATCAGACTTTGACGTTTAAATACAAAAGTCAACACCAAATATCGATCTCCTTGTTTTCCAATGACTTTGCACAATTAAAAATGGGGCTTTTTGTTCCCCGCCCCCCCACCGGCCCCTATGCCAAAGCTACAGAGGCTGTCTTCGCTCAGCTGGCAAATTTTTAAAAGAAGAAAAGAACTGGATGCTTTTTAACAGCTCTTAAGATGCTGAGGTTGTACCAAGTCTGGAGCTAATGCAAGATGAG